GTGTGCTGGCAGGTCTTGTTACCCTGTGGGGGACCCACGCTGGAGCAGTCTGGTCCTGAAAGACTGCACCCCATGGAAGGGACCCATGCTAGAGCAGTTCATGAAGAACTGTAGCGCATGGGAAAGACCCACGTTGGAGAAGTTTGTGGAGGACTGTCTCCCATGGGAGGGACCCACACTGGAGCAGGGGAAAATTGTGAAGAGGAAGGAGCAGCAGAGACAATGTGTGATACAACCCGCATTCCCCATTCCCCTGTGCCACTTGGGGGGAGTAGGCAGAGAAAATCATGAGTGAAGTTGAGCCCAGGAAGAGTGTGAGGAGTCCTCCCCTTGAGGAGGAAGGAGCGGCACAGACAATGTGTGATGAACTGACCGCAACCCCCATTCCCCATCCCTCTGCACTGATGCAGAGGAGGAGATAGAGAAAATCAGGAGTGAAGTTGAGACCGGCAAGAAGGGAGGGATGGGGGGAAGCTGTTTTAAGATTTGGTTTTATTTCTCATTACCCTACTTAGTTTCGATTGGTAATAAGTTAAACTGATTTTCCCCAGGTCAAGTCTGTTTTGCCCATGATGGTAACTGATGAGTGATCTCCCTGTCCTTATCTCGACCCATGAGCTTTTTCTTTATATTTTCTCTCCCCTGTCCAGCTGAGGAGGGGGAGTGATAGAGTGGCTTTGGTGGGCACTTGGCATCCAGCCAGGGTCAACCCAGCACAGGAGCCCAAGTTAGTGTCCTGGCAGGGCTCTCTGGTGCTCAGGGTCCATGGAGGTTCAGAGAGGCATAGGATGGGCTGTAGGAATACCCACCACCTCCCCATGAGACAGGGTACCAAGCCGAGCAGTTTTAAAACACATCTGTTTGCCATTACATGGAATATTGACCATTCAGTTATTCATGTTAGCACTACGTGCTGATTGATATTGATTGTTATTAAGAGTTTCAGCCTTGATGAAACTGCAGTGGAAATACTGTCTGGTTATCATTTTTTCCTGGTGTCTCCTTCAGTGAACGTTTTCCTTTTTCTGCTTTTTGCTTTGATCACTGATATTACTGTAATTCACTTTACTGCTGAAATGCAATGAAATGCTCTTTCTCTTCCTAATACTAAATAAAGTATTTCTTTATATTCCATTAAAAAAATTGTTTATTATTAAGGTTTAATTTTTATGGAGAAAGCAACATAATGCCTTTAAAGAAAACAAAGACAGAATTCCAGAAAGTAATCTGACACAAAAAATGGACATTCTGCTGCAAAAAATTAATGAGGGTAAATTAAAATTTCATCTGCCAAGGAAAGTAAGTAGAAACTGAGTCACAATGATAGGAAAAGGTAGTACATAAAGCCCCTTGAAAAGCAGAATGAGAAATATAATTGTGTTCTTAATTATAGAAATAATCCAAAATGGCACAGGCCTTGGGTACAACATCAAGTTGTGAATTGAAGACAAAAATAATAGACCTGATAAACTCAATCTTAGTTAATAAAATATATAGTCCAGTAAAAACAGAACAATGGCATTTATCCAGTTACTTCAGTTCATAGCCTTGAGACAAACTTCATTTAATTTGATAGCTATCTAATGTTAATCATTTAGGCTATCTGTTAATTTACTATTAGTCACTAGAGACACACCACACTAAAGGTAATTTAGACCACTATCATAACTTTAAATGGCTGAAGAGATAATTCAAATTCACAGAGCCTCATTAGTGAGTTAAAGGCTGTATAGAGCTGGGGTTGCTGCTTATCAATGCTCTGAGCTGGACTCTTTGAAGTCATTAAGGATTCATGGGATTTGGCTTCATGGCTTTGAACTTTGATCTGAAAAGTGCAGGAATGGAAAATGTGACTGACATTCTGGGTGTGCGATTCAAGGCAACCACGCCTCCCGCACTTGTGCGGAGGCCAGATTCACAGTACTCTCAAATAAACTAAAAATATTTATAGTGCTGTGGCCACAGTCTACCCCTCTAGTGGGAAATTCTGCAGGAGATTTGAAGTATTCACTGTGCCTTTATTCTCTTACAGAAATAAAGCATGATGTTAAAGAAACTACTTTTAAATCTTGTGAAAAATCTGTATAATACCAGAATGCAAGATGGATATAATTATAACTATATAACTATAAATATACACACGTATTATTATAACTATATAACTATATATACACAC